GGTATATTTTCACCTATTATAGCATCTGTGAGTTTGGATTTATCTTACAATTATAGTAAAGAAATTGTCTCACTATTGAATGAGTAAAATTATTTAATGTGCATACAGTTATTGATGGTAAACTTTATAATACTTGAGATATTAAATGGTAATGGACATAGAGAAGAAGACTATGTGGTGAGAAACATTTCAGAGGTAGCATTCCTGAGACTTGGAAACAGTCCTACAGAGGTGTCAACGAGACACCAGCTCCATACAGAGATTCTGGGATATGGTGGCTATGTACAGCAGTGGTTTACAGATGACCACAAAACATTCATAGGTCATCACAGACAGCAGAATGACCTCAGTTACCACACATGAAGAAAATAAATAGAAGTGCACAGTGAATCCCAGGAAGGAAATGGCTTTGTCTTCATTTAAGAAGTTAGCTAACATCTTGGGCGCAATGATTGTGGAGTAACAGAAATCCTCAAAGGACAAGTGGCTGAGGAAAACATACACGGGGATGTGATCTTGAGAGCTGACGTGAATCAGTTCAATCATGCCCAGGTTTCCCAAAACCTTGTCTCCATAGATGAGAAGAAACATCAGGAAGAGAAATATCCTCAACTCAAGGAGATCTGCTAATCCCAGGAGAATGAACTCTGCCACAGTGGTACAGTTCTCCTTGTCCATGTCCCCACTTTATTTGGGTTGGAGCAAAGTACTAATAGTTATTCTCTGTTGTTTGATCCCAAATTGAGTTTTGACTGTCTCCTAAAAAAGGACACGAGAATAAGTAGGATAGTTAATTTTTTTAGCAAAGAAATAAGATATTGCTTTCAGGAAGTTTAGGAAAAGTTCAGACATTGTAGCATACAAATGCATATAGCTCACACTCTAATTTATGAATCACATAAAAGCATTCACTTCTATAAGAGTTTGTATGATTATTTAAACTAGTCCTATACAATTTAGAGCCTGAAACAGAATCATTAGAAACACATTAAATATTATTTAATTAGCCATATTATTTTATGAAATTTAAATCCTTTTTTCCTGGCCAACTCTTTAATCAATACTGGAAATACGGAGATCCTAGAAAATATTTTTTTATAATATATAGTACCCTTCCCCGTTTTCTACTGAAACAAGGAGAAGTATGCTCAATCCACAATTGTTCATTTTTCATCAATATGTTTTAAACGAAGAAAGTAGCTTTTATACTCTACATTTAGCATTTTTCTCTCTAAAATTAGTATAGTGATTTTGTTAATTGTGCTAGTCAGTGTTGGCCATTGTTTAGCAAATTGGTACTCTTGCACTGAAACTTACTGTTTATGACTCTGAAGCCTTATAATGACCTATTTGCTAAATAAATTCAGAACTTTAAATATATTTGGAGAAATCATCAAATATGTAAATATGAAATTATTAATACAAATGCTTGCTTTTGTATTGCAGCATTACTTATGGTAGTAAAACTTAGAAATAAACTGTCAAACAAGAGTAAAATGTCTAAAGTCACAGTAGATATATATAATGGAATACTATGCAGCTATTATAATGACATTTTTGAGGAAGTTTCAATGACCTGAAAAATGACTATCATAAAATGGCAAGGTAAAAAATAGTAACACTAGATTGCACAAACATAATATTATATGAGTTTACAAAACTTATATTTTGTTTTTAATTCTCACATCATCCATGACAGATAAATATTTGATTTGAATCATTTTTTTTAAAAAAAAGCAATGTAGAAACTTGCCTCACTTCTCACAAAATGTAAGGTTTATGGAGTAGAGTGGGGAAGGAGGGTGAGATATTTTAAATAAAGGAAGGATACATCCAAGGCCTTTAACATATAGAAAATGCCAACAGTGAGAACACTTTCATTTGTTGTATATCTCCTGACCCTTGATAGGTATGTACATGACTGTGGAGGCATTGGTTGGTTATTCCTGGAAGAAAGAGAATGTGGATTAAAACACAACACCACCAGCTATTTTCCTCATTCTTAAGTGATTACAAAGAGGTGAAGGATAGATGCATCAAGAAATCCCACTTTGAAAACAAATAACTATGGTGACGATATGATTTTCTCTCCTCAATGGCCAGTAAAAACGAGTTGTCTTTTTCTAAGTTCAAAGTTGTACATAATATTATAAACCTTCTCCCGTTTCAAAGTCTAAAAATGAAAAATCAGACTGTTGATTATTTATAGAGTAGTCGCTCTTAACCAGGAGTTATTCTGATCTCCGTGGGACATTTGCCAATGTTTGCAGACAGTTTTGGATGTCACAATAGGCAAGGGTGATACTGACATCTAGTGGATAGAGACTAGGGATGCTGGTAAACACTATGATGCACATGACAGTCTCTCCCCTGACACACACACATACACACACATACCAACAACACACACAAACACCAAAATGTTATCTTGCCCAAAATGTCAGTTATACCAAGGTTGAGAAACCTGATATGGAGAGCCACTTCAAAGTGTTTTGCACAAGGCCAAAATATTCCTCTCCTTTCTGCTTCTGAGGTGGTTCTCACATCTCTGTCTTCACATCAGCCATCCTGAGGGCCCCTTGCTGCCACTCGCAGCATCAGAGTGAGTGTCACAAGAATCTCCATGCAATCTTTATAAGATTCCATAGATGGAGTTAGTGTGAGAGAGGAAGAAGTGGGAAGGAGAGAGAAATCAAGCATTCTTCCCATTTTGTTTACATTCTTTTCCCTCTTACACTAATAGTTATTACAATATATTGGTTTTGCAGATTAAGTTGTTCCCATTTCCTATTAAGCTTGGTTTTCAATACAGAAGGGGAAAATATTTTCATAAATGGTTGCTCAAACCATGGCACTTCTTAAAACACGCTCTAGTTAAGAGAAGGCTAAATATAGATTTTTAAAAACTGTGTCTAATACTACTGCCCTCCTTTACAATTCCTCCTTTTCTTACACATGGCTATAATAAATTTCTCCAATAAGAAAAGAAAGAAAGAGAAGATTTCAGATCCTAGCAAATATCATTCATGCCCATTCCCCAAAACCGAGTGTAGTCCAATCAACCAACCTGTGGCTAGATATTGCTTCCCAAGTTTATGAAGCTGCTATGATGTAAAATGTTATAGGCTTTTGTTTTCGTGTATGTGTACCTCTGGGATCCATTTTCCTTAAGTTTCTCAAAACAATCATTGATCTCTGTTGGACATCAGCAAGATATCAAGAAAACACCAGCTTTAGACTCAGACAATTAATGACTTCTATGAGATATAAACAGCGGGAAATACTATCCCAACATGGTACATATTATTATAATTCACCATGATTTCTTCCAGAGTTTATGAAGTTTACAGATCATTTTATGCTGCATCCAAGCAGGGATGCAGCCAGGGATCACATTGCCATTGTAAAATATATGAATACGTCTTATAAATGTCTTATTCTCAAAAGCTTCTTCCCGGAGGGCATAGAGTCTGAAGCCACACCAGAGTTGTACAAATCCCACAAAGGGGTGGGGATAATGAACTTATTTTACTAAGAATAATAATAATTGCTCACATTTATTGACTACTTCATATGTACTAGGTCCTGTTCTGAATACAACTATTAACACATTTCATCTTTATAAAAATAAGTGAGCTTGGTACAGCTATGTACCTTTATGAATGAGGTGACTGAGGTACAGACAGGTGTAACTTGCCCAAAGTGACACACAGAATCACTGATATAATGAGATCATATTCTGCTCTTTGGATTGTGCCGCACATATGACCCTGTGAGGAAGAGCAGAGCTACTGAATGATGCTGGGATGGCACAGTCCTTACTCAATGCCAGAGGCCACTAAATGGGATTGCCTCAAGGATCTCTCACAAGTTTGCTCCTTTTCTGATCATACAATGTTTCCCTAAATGGACAGCGTTCAAACCACTATCTACGGTTTGTGCCCTTGGATATAACAAACATTTCAAGAATCCCATCAACGTAATTAGTCACAGTTAATCAGTTTCAAAATTCTCAACAACCTATGCATGTTTTCCTAAAATTGATAATTTCACGAGTTCAAGGAGTGTTTCTGGGTCTCCTTTCTACCTAGAACTCTGACAATTCCTTGTCTCTCATTTTTCAAAAGCAAAGGTTCCTCTTGTTCATTCACATATTACTATGTAAATTTCTCCGATTAAAAAAAAGACAAAAGCAAATTTCCGGAATCTAAAACATAAGAACAATTTGATATATTGTTTTCCATGGAACCTGACGTTTTCTTTAATCAAGACACTTCAAAACCTTGGTATGACTCTTTATCATGACTCTGGCATTTGGTACATATTTATTTTCATGGAAAATAATGGCATTAGACATGTATTCAAACCAATGCTGTGTTTTGAAATCAGATATCTAGTAGATTTGATGACAGTATTTTTTAACATCCGTTCCTTTTGTTCTTAGTCCCCCCTGAAACTATTGTCACAGAACACATCCCCCTGAAGGAGAGAGTCTAATGATGATAAAAGTAAAAGAACATCTATAAAGAGCATCATTGGCAGTGATGTTTTAGATCATCTGGGCAACCCACTCACAGGAAAGATACTTTGTTTGTTTGTATTAGACTTAGACATAGCAGGTGTTTTTAAAAATGGGTGTAAATATAAAATTTTTATAGAAATTGATTTCATGGTCATTATCCATAAATTGAATAATATCAATATGAAGTTCTAAGTTTTTGTTGAAATGTGTTTAAAACACATAATATGATTTTAGCAAAATATTGTATTAGCAAGGTTCAATAAAATCAAGAAAATGTTACATTTTCTAAACTTTAAAGTTCCATCATTTTAATCAAGGTGCCTCTAAGTAGAAGAATAACAAATATGCTTAACTCTTATAAGACTTGGAAGTTCTCTGTGGTAACTTTTTCAGAAATTAAGCAAGTGAGGGGTTCTAATGATTGCATAACAAATACTCCAAAACATATTAGTTAAAAACAACAACTACTTACTGTACTGGGCACTATTGCATGAGTCATTAAGTTAGTACTTTTGATCTGGTCCTGACATGGCTGATCCTGACTTGGTCCGCTATGTTTATGATATAAGCTTGGCAGATGAGATGATCTAAGAAGCTGCACACTCAAGTCTGGAGGCTGTGGTTCTCATTATCCAATATGCTCGTCTGTTCTTGTTCACACAACAGCTTTTCTAAGAGACTGCGAAAATTCCAAAAGATTGTGAAAAAGTCACAAGGCTGCTCAGAGGCTTGAAACTTCCACACTGTCACTTCAGGTACCTTCTGTAAGACAAAGCTAGTCACATTAGCAGCCTACGTTCCAGGAGTGGAGAAAGTTGATTCCACCATTTGATCAGAAATGTTGTAAAGAGGTGTGGATATGGGGAGGACAAAAGAGGTTAGACCATGTTTCCTACCACACTGGGTAACAAATATTTTTGAAAGTTATAATTTCCACCATTTTAGCCTTCAACAAAATTGGGAGACAATTTAATTTTGTTTAATGAATTATTTAAAAAATTTTTGATGAAATATCATTGTGAGAAATTGGCACATAATTGGAAGGAGTTGAAAGAGTTGAGTGATATTACTATTACAGCACAATTTCTGGCACAGTTTCTATTCCCACTTACATTTAATATGACCAAATAGCTTCATTATTTTCATCTATTAAAATGTAGAAATAAAAATGATGCTGAACGCTCTTGCTTTCTAACATTAATTGATGTCTTTCCAAGAATATCTTAATTAACTGAAAGAAAAAATCCAAACATGATACTCAATATTTTTCACAGAAAGAAATATTTCTCAACATACGTTTTCAATTTTAATTATTATACCCAAATTTGCAAAGCAATTATATTCTTAATTAGTATTATAATTATTATTGTATCATTGCAAGGTTAACTTAATGAAGAAAGAAAAACTTCTTCTTTTTTTGGAGGAAGATTAGCCCTGAGCAACTACTGTCAATCCTCCTCTTTTTGCTGAGGAAGACTGGCCCTGACCTAACATCCATGCCCATCTTCCTCTACTTTATATGTGGGACACCTACCACAGCATGACTTTTGCCAAGTGGTGCCATGTCCTCACCCAGGATCCGAACCTGCGAATCTCGGGCCACCGAGAAGTTGAATGTGCGCACTTAACCACTGCAAACTGGGCCGGCCCCAGAAAAACTTTTGATTTTGTCAAAAGCATTATGATCACACAAAATAAAAATTATGAATGTGATTAATAAAATTATAATGTTCAATGAGAGGAGTAGAACTGAATAAGTTCAAGAGAAGGAAAGGCATAAATCTGACTGCTGTTGTTGCTATTATGTATGTATTTTAAATGAATTATGCTATGCAATGGAAATTACTTTTTGTTACTATTTAAGGTGAAATATTTTATACGTAAAATTAAATTTTGGGGATATATACCTTTTAAAAACTAATTGAGAAGCACATGAACAAAAAAATGTGAAAACTACTAACATGAGTCATATTCTATATAGAAGCTACAGAATCTACCATAAAGAATCTGAAACGCCCCAACTTGAAAATGAGAACAATATGATTGTAGGCCAGTGTTTAGTGGAAAATGGGCTTCTGATGTGTCTGAAGTCTTGGATGATTGTATTAATTTTATCAACAATTACTTGTATAATGTTGACCAGGTCACTTACACATCATGGTCTTTGGTTTCCTCAAAGTAAAAGTAAAATGAGCTGTGCTCTACCACAAACTGTGATCATCCTTGATCCAAGCAGGACAGAAGTAAAATAAGTATGTCAGTAACCATCATTGATTCAATTTAAGATTACTGTAAATAATTTCCTAATTTCAAAGAAATTTAGAAATTGTTTAATTGCCAGAAGTATAGTGAAAGACGCTTTTGTGAATACATAGAGAAACTGAAGTCAATAGAAGAGAAAAATTCCCTCATCAGACATCGACTATCTAAAACAATTTCATACATGTTTTATCTTTCCATAGAAAATGATTATTTAATTGATTATTTATCATATAATGTATACGAATGGAACATTTTAACAATGATCATAAGTTTAAAATAATAGGAACATTCAAAAAGCATTATCGAATCCATATAAAATTGTTTCCCAGCTCACGTTTTCTCCCTTACCTGGAAACATACATCTTGATGATTATATTATATTGATTATATTATATTGATGATTAGTTTGAAATTTTATCTAGGTATATTGAGTAAAGAGAAAGAGAAGGTTGTACAAGTTATTCAAGCAATAGTGAGCTATTAACATTAGAAAAATCTACTATTTTTAATTTGCCAGATTAAATAGGTCTTAATACTAAGGATTGCCTGGTTTTCATTTTATTTTGAATAAAGTTATGTAGGCAATTAGTTTTCAACACTTGAGGCAACTCCAAACACTGTTTTTTTTTAATTTAAAGTGGGAGTTCAGTTGAGAAGGGTTGAGAGATTATGCTCATGTGCAGAAAAAAGAATCATAAAGAATCGATCATGTTTTTGATGGGTTTATAGGAAGAATGATAGCATGCAGTACAAGTTGGGTAGACACTCATCCTCCTTACCTTTTACATATAAGATTTTTGAGATCCAGCCTCCTATTTCTAAGCCTCTGGTGGAGCTTGTTGTAGCTTATCATCCTGAAACACACTCAGAATAAAGATCATGTCTTATCTGCTTTCTGTTTGTGCCAAGTAACCTGTATACACAATATACCACCCACCCACACACACACACACACACACATATATACATACATGTTATTAAGTATTCTCTCAATAAAAATTTTGTTGCATCTTTAACTAAGTATTGCATTCTGACCTCTTTGATTTTGCCATGCTGTCTGTCTCTTGAGTAAAACTCCTTGTTGAAATGTGTCTCCTAAAATTCTATTCATTCTCTTGTTCAAGGACAATTTTAAACAATACCTATTTAAGAAAGCATCTCTCTAAAGTCCCTAAATAGATTTGAACTTTCCTTTCTTTCAAATCCTCTATGATACTTATTATTTTCTACCTTGTACAATGACTGTTTTCACTGCCCTACTGTCAACAGTTGAATTTGGATTTCTTGAAGGATGAACACTAGTGTTATTTTAGCAGCTATTTGTACTTTTATAAGAGAAATTAATGTTTATTGAGAGCCTAGTTTACTCCAGGTATGTTATAAGAAAGGGGATGAAATTGTTTATTGAGATTATACAAGGTTTGACGCATGATATCTATATAATCGTTTAATCTTCACAATCACATTAAGAGCTAGTTTATGTTTCTCAACTTTGTAGACAAAAAGTTAAAGATGAGAGAGATGGCTGTTTTATTTTCCAGCAAGGGAGATGGCCAAGTTTAGTCTCTTTGAACTAAAATCCATGATCTTTCCATTGTACAACATTAACACTTCATAATTTTAAAGGTGTTTTTAAAATCAAGCTTTATGAGCACACTTTATTTACATATCAGTGACAAACTCTACTAAAATAATATGCTTAATAAGAAAATACTTTAGTGTCTATAATTTTGCTGGGTCCAGAATTGTGCTGACTGTATCTTTGGTGTCCATATTTATCAGACTGTAGATCAGAGGATTCAACATGGAGATCACCATTCAAAGAGGCCACTTTGACCGTGTGCCTGGAGGTTTTGAGTTGGGCACTCAGCAGACAAAAGTCATAGTGCCGTTGAAGATTGTGATGCTGGTCAGGTATGAGGCACATGTAGAGAAGGCTTTGTAGCACTCACTGGCTGAACACATCTTGAGGATGGTAACAACAATAAATATATAAAACATGAGAATGATGAGAAGTGTGCTGACCCCTTTAAAAGTGGCAAAAATGAAAAGCAGCAACTGGTTGTCGTAAGTATCAGAGTAAGAGAGAGACAGCAATGAGGAGATTTCACAGAAGAAATGATTGTGTTGAAACACCAAAATGATATTTTTTTGTGTTAAAGATTAGCACCTGAGCCAACATCTGTTGCCAATATTTCTTTTTTCTTTTTTTCTCCCCAAAGCCCCCAGTACATAGTTGTATATTCTCGTTGTATGTCCTTCTAGTTGTGCTATGTGGGACACCACCTCAGTATGGCTTGATGAGCAGTGCTAGGTTCGCACCCGGTATCCAAACCGGTGAAACGCTGGGCCACCAAAGTGGAGCACACGCATTTCACCACTCAGCCACAGAGCCAGTCCCAAAATGATAGTTTGATTGCAGAACACATGAGTATCAAGGAACAAACTACTTCCCATGCATATGATCCAACCACTAGCATGGCACAGAGTTTCAGGGACATGGCAAAGGTGTAGAGCAGAGGCTTACAAATGGCCAAATAATCGTAGGCCTTCGTAGCTAATGAAAAGAATTCAGTTACCACAAAGGTGCAAGAGAAAAAGAAGTGTACTACACATCCTATAAATGAAACGGTTCTGTCTTCCACAGCTAGGTTTACCAGGGTCTTGGGAATAATGATGGAGGAACAGCAAAAATCCACGAATGAGAGGTGGCTGAGGAAAAATTATATGGGTGTGTGCAGTTTGGTGTTAATTTTGATTATTAAAATCATCCCAATATTCCCTACAACAGTGACACTGTAGATGGCTAGGAAAATCAAGAAGAGGGGGATTTGCCGTTCTGGGAAATCTGAGAAGCCCAAGAAAGTGAGCGTGGCTCCAATTTTATTTCTCTCTGACATCACCATGGTTTCTCTTTGTTAGGATCTGAATCAGTCCTGAAAACAAAAATATAAAGAAGAGTGAGGATATGAAAAGCTTAGTTAACCACTCCTTACCAAGACTGAAAGATTAAGCAAAATCTCTCTTTCAGAATTTTTCAGAGAAAGATAGGCATGGATGTTAGCTCAAGGCCAGTCTTCCTCAGTGAAAAGAGGAGGATTGGCAGCAGTTAGCCCAGGGCTAATCTTCTTCACAGAAAGGAAAAAAGTTAACAGAATTTCTCTGTGTATTTTTTATGCAAGATCTAGTAAATTTCTAAAATTTTAAAACATCACAACAATTTAAAATGTTTCAAGTAAAAATAATGCAATATTCAATTTTTGTTGGTTCTCAATTGTAATTTTTAATATAAGAACATGAAATCAAGGGAGTTACGGTTATTTTTAAATCAAAACCTCCCATAACACTTTCAGCTGTTCTTGAACATTGTAAGTACTTAAAAGACAAGCCTAAGATATGATGACTGATTGTCAGCCC